AGAACCAGCCTCCGAAACGTCGTGATTTTAAAACACAGACAATGAAAAAAGTCCTAACAACGCATAATTTTGATAAAGTTGGGGAAACCCACACGTGCTGGGTAATTTATTAATTTTCGTCAGTTGTTATAAAGACGATCAAATTAAGGAGGATAAGATGGGCAGGGTATACAGCACACATGGAGTACAAAACAAATGCACAGAAAATTTTGATCTAAAATCCTGAATAAAGGAGATGACTTTAGAGATTTAGTGAAATATCAACTTAGTGTTAAAAAATAGGTGTGAAGGTGTTAAATCGATTCGGTTGTCTTGAGACAGAGACCCTACCGGCTTTTGTGAACATGACAATGAACATCTGAATTCTATAAAACGCGGGGAAATTCTAGACCATCGAAGCGACTAGCCAGTATTTTAATTCCGGTAGTCTAATAGCGAGATGCATCATGTAGCATGAACTGAAATTTCAACTTGTATTGTCGCCTTCATCAGGACTGTTGATATTTCATTATCGTTTAGAGTAAGTAAGCACTTACGCTCAAGAATTTTATGACTCAACTCAAGCATTACTTTGAACATTATTCCGCTACGCAGGTGTTCTCTCTCGGGCATCAGCGTAATAAAAATAATTCTGCACGAATGTTATAAGGCACAGTTCCTACTGCGCATGCTTCGCTATAAAGACTGGGCATTTTAATCAGCATCCACCTTGTGTACACTTGCGGAAGAACAGAACATTTTATAGGTCCTTTATATTTGTTCAAAATTTCAACGAGAACAGTTTATGTCAATTATATTTATATGATTTATTGGCTCTCGTGTTATTATAAGATTGTTAGACATCTACATACATGAGTAGCATATTCTGCTAGTCCACACCAGTGGTCCCCAACCTTTTTGTGCCTACGGGCAAATTTGAGAGTTTGTATGAGATCGTGACGGGCACCAACCAATTAACAAAGCCAAATTGCCTTTTATCTGGACAAATAAGATATGGACACCAAATAATACGCAAAACAACACGACGTTTAATGATACAAGAAAACATGCAATCAAAAATACGTACTTTCAAAAGTACAATTATTATTACTCAAGTGGGAAGTTAGTGTGATGTTTGGCATCGGACATTTTGTTTCAAATTTTGGAGTGTAGGGTGATGTTGCTGCTCGCAAACAATTGTCAAGATGGGCATTAGTAAGTAGAGATCTGTGCTTTTATTTTATAATGTTCATGGTTGAACGACCTTCATTATTCAGTATAACCTCTTTTCGTATCAACGCGGGCACCCAAAAAAAGCCTAGGCGGGCGCCATGGCGCCCGCGGGCACCGCGTTGGGGACCACTGGTCTACATTCTATTTTGTTTCTTCTTTTAGATAGAAGTGAATTTAGAAGCTACAGCGACGATGCATTACGATGTAACAATATCTTACTGACAATCAAGTACTCATGAAATAACTAACTGTTCGTATTAGTTCAGGACTCGGTTGTTTACTCTGCAGAACAAGCACAGAAAAGTGTCGTTCCGGTTCTTGTATTATTGCCAAAATATTCTCGGGGTGTTTGGATTATTTACTTCCCCTTTCCATTCTCTTTTCTTTTTATTTCAACTAAGTTTCTCATTCCCTTGCACTTCTTTCTTTGGCGAAAGTCCAGTGAACATTTGTCACCTCTTAAACGGGTAAGATCCTCTGTTACACTAGCCGCTGTTATAACAGATATGCCTACTCCCCTATTAACTAACTAACTAACTAGTACATGGCTTACCGAACACAAAGGTTCATCACCGGATTAACCAAGGCCCTCCACCGGACCCTGTCCTGGGCCAACAAAATCCGGTCTCCTTCAACTCCTATCTCCAGTAGATCCCGCCTGACATTATCCTCCCATCTACGTCTAGGTCTCCCCAGCGGTCTCTTCCCCTCAGGCTTCCAAACCAGTACCCGGTGCACACTCTTGTCCCATCCATGCGCGCTACATGCCCGGCCCATCTCTTTGTTCTCGACCCTGACAATACTGGGGGAGGAGTACAGATTTTCCTACTCCCCTATTTAAAAGAAAATTTAAACTTCCTCTGTGTATATATACTAATATGATTTAATTTAGGTTTTGACCATAAACTGAAACTATATAGCTACTTGAGTAGGACATTTAAGCAGCGAAAAACGATCGATTCAATTAGATTCTGTTTGTGATTATGACAATGGAGGTAGAAGCATACTGGGCTAAAATAATATTATTTTATTGAAAAAACTGAGTTTAACTACAGAAACGTCAATGGAAATTGCATGTTTCTGTATCTTGTAGTTAACTGTATATGTTATATTTTTATACTGAATTCTGGTGCAGTGTAGACTCACCGGTAGATACAGACGTTTAGTAGAAACGTATTGTCTCCATCTTCAGAGCCAAATCCCAGAAGACGAACTTCATCGCCGTAAAGATCTCAATTCGTACAACTAGGGATGTTACGTCTTTTCACTTCTTAAATATATCCATTCAGATTCATCTAAAGCGATGAATCCATGATCTACGTCGATTTTAAGAAGGAGAAACACTACGCCGTCTGGGTCGCTATTGACGTGTTTGGCTGTAAGATACAAACACAGAATTGACGCAACTGTGATGAAAACTACATTCGAAATTGCAGACTGCTAGGTCTCTGTGCAATTTGATCAATGATAAGGCTGAGCAGATGTATGATTGACACGTCCTCAATTCGATATCGCGTTAACGCAAACTGAAAGTGTTTTATTACATTCATCAGTGCAGAGAAATGGAGGGAGATACGGTAATGTTCTTGCTTTGTACGTACATTTCATCACAAACTGTTTGCAAATGGTACTTTTATTGCTTCAAGTCTGCTGCATCAAGCGAGAGGATTGTTCTGTATTTTAGTGTAGTTAGAAAATAAATTTATTTCTTCCGCCAATTACTACAAAGCGAGTCTAGAGTTCGTTTTCTACAAGGGATGTATTAATTTTCATCGTGTGTACGTTTTTAGGGTAGTCCGTATTAAGTGAGCTTCATTCTCACAGATGAAATACATAGCCAATTTAAATTTTAACAAGTTACTTTCTGTGTAAGGAAATAATTAAATTAATTTTAATTTTCGTGACGATCGTACCAGATTGAAAGGCCCTACAGAGTACATTATATCTTTCAAGTGTGTAATTTTCCATCTGTTAAGCATTCAAAGAGATACATGAAATCTTTCAAGTGTGCCATTTTCCATCTGTTAAGCATTCAAAGAGAAGGAAATCTTGATTTAGTAATGTCCGACTTCTTGATCACTGTCAAGATTCAGGTGAAGTGTGATCTCCTTAACATCTCTCTCACGGCTAATTGCCAGTGTCAAGCCTTTGAAGCGAGAGTAATTAAATGAAAGGCAAAATTGGCGGTGTCGGACGTTGGATAATTGGATGACAAGGATCTGAAATGATGGGTTTGAATACGCATAAGATTACTATCCTTAATGTTGGTGTAGATTTTGTTATATTGTACTAAATCCATCATAAAGTGGGGTCACACAGACTAGTAATAATTAGTCCAAAGAGAAATCGTCTAATATTTCCTACGTTACATTCTTAATATCAGATAAGTAAGTCTATAAATTATTATCAAAAATAACAGATTATGATAATAGGTAAATTTTCACACACACGTTTCTGGCATTCGAAATTGTGAAATGAAATAACAGAATTTTTTCACATCTGGAGTCGGAACAAAAAGAAAAATGATCTAATCCTTAAAGATTATGATAAGATTAAAGATAATTATAATACGTAATGACTCAAACTGTTTTAATTTGTACAAAGCCATGTTTTATGAGATAGAATGTAACATCTATGATTATTTCTAAGTTTTATTCAGGTAAATGTGGAGACATCATGTTAAATAGGTCACGGTAATTTATATCCTTAAAACTTACTTCCCAATCAGATTGTACCTGTAAATAATTCCAACATTCCCCATTCTATGTTATATTTGAATAACATCGTTAAATTCATAGGACTGTTTACTATATTCACACGATTTTCAAACGTCAAAGCACTCAAAGATATTTATTTCTTAAAATATTTCGGAGTTGATTCTGAAACTACTTTACATTTCTTCATTTGCCCCCAATACCGACCAATTCAACTGTCAACTAATTCCTGACTGATGAAGTTACGCAAGTTCTATGACAGTTTTAAGAACAATAACTTTCTTTATAATAAACTACCAACAGCAAATTCTCTGCCGATCATAACGCCAGCGCGGTCTGAGAAATGAGTTTTGGCTATTCAGTCTCTGGGATCGTAGGTTTGAATTACAGTCGGGACATGAATGTACTATAGCCGAGAACCGCTACAGTTGCAGTCGGTAACAGTTTAAATTCATAACCGTGCCTTGTCTCTTGCAACTGTGTTAAATTTTATGGAGTACTCTAGCTATCGCAGGTAAGATGACGTTACATTTTAATATTACATTTTTAATATGAAAACCTGAAAGGAAGGGATCAATTGGGAGACCCAGACGTAGATGGCGCCTACATATAAAAGAATGTAAACAAATAAAGAGTCCAGTGACAGATTCTTAGAAAAGCGCTAATGTACCGTCTGTTTCTATTAGCAGAGAGATTTCTTAAACAGCAAAGTAAAAATAGATGACGGAGGCAGTATGACCTCTGAAACGTTGGTAACATCGACCAGACTACACAGCGCAACAACCCAGAAGACAGAAATCTTCATACTCACCGCTGTGAAAACCTCAAATCTTACAAATTAATTTAAATGGGGGAAATTATGTTAGGAAACAAATAAAACAGCAGTTACTCACAGTGAATCGTACGTTGTATTTGAAGATGGACAGTAGTTGACTATTGTAATAATAATGAAACAAACTTTGCTGACATAAATTTCTATATTTTTGAATCTGTTACAGAACAGTCCAGCCGGTGTAACATACTACTGTCTGGATAGCGGCGTGTTGGAAATCTTTCTGCATCAGCCCTGGCTACACCACAGGTCTGGTTACCACAAACACCTAGAATTAAATACGAATCAGAGCACTCGAGAAACGTGAAGTTCATGTGACGTACCATTTCTTGCTGGTGTCCGACTGCCACGTGATGACTGCTCAGTTCAACAGCAGGCCTACAACTGAGCCATGAGTGTTAATCACTATCGACCCTCGTATTGAAGTGAGCTATCTTTGTATTTCCTGTTGTTTTACTTCACGTACTATAAGCTTTATTCACCCACAACGTGATTGCTCTATTTGGCGGTAACGTAAATATTCCGTCTAGCGAATTCTTTCATTTACATTTTCATTCATAATTTTTTTTAGGTTTTCCACCAGTTCCAGTTATTATGCTTCATTTTTCCCAACACTTTGTATGTGTGTGTATATATATATGCACGGTCTTTTCCTTTAGGAATCGGATATAGTAATATTTTTGGTTGACACCCTCTTTTTCTTGAGTTACACTGTAGGCCGACATCATAATGCCGAGAGAATTAATTTATTTCACCCGAGAGTAACATTATGCTACGTCTCTACCATAAAACCAAAAAAAAACAGTTTGAATCAGAAAATGCGCACGGCACGCAAAATGTGTAGTCTGACTGAGTTAAATTAATGTTTAGTTGACTAAAATTACATTCAGCAGTAATTTTTGAAAATTTGATAGTTTTCTTTAATCAAAAAAGTACCATTTTCATATGTAACCCCGAAGGTTCAGTATCATGGTTAAAACTGCCCACCACTGGTCCCTATCCTGAGTCACTTAAAACTGCCCACAACTGGTCCCTATCCTGAGTCAGATTAATCCAATCCACACCCTCAGATCTCATATAAGTCTTATGAGGCTTCTTTCTTTAATGTTTTACGACCAAATTTCTGTGTGCATTTATCAGCTGTGATATGTGCTATATTACCCGTAAATGTCACCCTCTTTCAGTACAACATCCTTAATAAATATTTATCAACATGTATATATACATTTTTGTAATTTAAAAGGTTTTAATTAATGCTTCGTATTGCGATGTCGAGCCGTTGTACTTACTAAATTCACAGAAGTGGATTTATGATATATCTTCAGTGCACTCGCATAAGAAAATTAAAGGATTTCCCAGGAGTTCGTCACTTAAATATCTACAGCACAGGCCTCTTGACGTTCGTATCACTGATTACAGTCAACAATAATAATGAAAAAGACGTCTCCTTGTAAACAGAGAAGTGGAGTAAAAGGTAATGAAATTTCAGACTGCAAAACAAGGTGGAGAATCTAAAGTTTTAAAGAAACGGAACTGCAGAACAATTGAAAAGTTTTCCAAGAAAGCGTGCTTATAAAATAAAGACAATTGGGAGTAGACGCACCTTCATTATACTAACAAACAGCGCGTAAAGTTTTAGCGTGATTCTTCAACATCGCAAGAAAGGATAGTGCAGTTTCTTTGGTTGTGACATCAGGCGAACATAAAGAGTATATGTGGTTTAACTTTCGGTTGAATTGGTGGGGTGAGGATTTCCTCCAAAGACTGTGGACTTTAACTGCCCTGAGTAGCTAATCAATGAGGATAAACTCAAAAGCCATTGTAAGAAATGCACACGTAGACAGTAGCAAGACGGGTAATTGTGAGTTTTAACAAAAGACGGATAACAAGAATGTCGGTGAATGGAACTGATGAGCCAACATATTGAAATGAGAAAATGATTCAAATAAAAAAGAGACCTGCACTGTCTTTATGAAGGAGACGACGAGAAGTTAATATAACAACGTTAAAATGGAATATTGAAGAGAAGCTACTACATTCTGTAGAAAAAGGAGACTTAAAGGAGATATCAGATTTGCCATGTTGGATATCATTTTGGTGTCAATGCCTTTATAGTTTACTTTATAAATAGATTTCTGTAATTATAATTCTGACCCATCCTCATAATGAAATATTTTGCTACAAATTTTTATTAAATACCAAAGGAAGAAAATAACGCACTTACAACTCTATTCTACAGCTGGAGATAATTCTATTTACATCAAAATTGACATTTTTTTTAGAAAACACATAGGAGCTTCTGGTGAAATTCATGCAGTGGATTTTTTTAATTATGGCACCTGAACACGAATTTAGGTCTGACCAGAACGTCAGAAATTTATATTTCTTTAGCGTGTTTAATTTGTTTTCATAATGTCCATTTTAAGATTTATCATATTTTGAGTTCTATGCTATTTTGCTATATCATTTTCCTAGGCATATCTAGAGTTAAATATTGCGTTTTCCTTT